CTGACGCTTAACAAATGTCAAACATTTGCTGGAGTCATTAAAGTACCAAATGCTTTTGTAGCATTCCATCTCAGCCAAATCAGCGTCTCATTGTATATACAGTGGCAGTAGGTTTTTCAAGGCCAAGAGATGAACAGAGCCTGTTGCCATTGCTTGCCTCTGCATAGCCACCCTGGACAGCCGTGCTGGTCTCCCATCCAAATACTGACCATGGCTGACCCTGCTTAGCTTCTGAGATCTGACGAGACTGGACTAGCTGGGGCCCTATGGGACAGGGCCATCATACACGTGGTGGTGGACAGTGCCATAATGTCACAGCCAACTTATGGCAACCCTGTAGGGTTTGCAAGTCAAGAGACAAACAGAGGCAACTGCCATTTCCCGCTTCTGCGTAGCAACCCTGCACTTCCTTGGTGGTCTCCCATCCAAGTACTAACCAGGGCTGACCCAGCTTATTTATTTATTTATTTATTATCAAATTTATACCCCGCCCTCCCCGCAAAGCGGGCTCAGGGCGGCTTCCATAAAAGCATAAATACATTAAAATTACACAAATATTTAACCACACAAATAAAACCAATATATATACAAAGTGCTGGCGGCAGTTAAAATTAACCTAGATGGCATATTGTCAGAGTAAATTTCCACTGCCCAGATGTTCCACGATGTTTCTGCTCATAATCAGTTGGATGTTAAAACCACAGACCAGAGCTCTGCAGTAGCGGCCAGCAATAGCCGCCTGCAGTGGTGGCGGCCCCTAATTAAATGCCTGGCGGAAGAGCTTAGCTTCTGACATCTGATGAACCTGGGCTAGCCTGGGCCATCCAGGAGAGGGCCATCATAAGGACTATTAATGCTCTTGAGATGTTTTTTCTCGAATGCTGCTGGAACATTTAAAAATTGCAGGAGGCTCTCAAAATCATTATTTGCTGCCTGCTCCAGGAAAACGCCCATGGAATTCTCCCACCCATAAGGGGTGTAGACCCTTTTGTGAGACTTTCCCTTCGAATTAACACATCACCAGGAAAATCCACATAACTGACCCCATTCATAAAGTTGCAAGTCTTTACCTTTTACAGCAGTACTAAGGGGTGAACCCTTGGAAAACACTACTCCCACTGCACTACACTGACTCTGAAATGGCACCTGTATTTTCTGTTGCCTTGACCTTAACGGCCCAGGCTAGCCTGAGATCTGGTCAGATCTTAGAAGCTAGGCAGGGTCTGCCCTGGTTTATTTGATTTATTTATTTGCTACATTTATATCCTGCCCTTCTCGAAACGGGCTCAGGGCAGGTTACAACAAAGTGCATGAACAATTTAAAACCAGTTACTATAGTTAAAACAGCTAAAACCATTAAGCCATAAAACAATAAAAAGATGGCAAATTAAATATAACAGTTCAAACCCCCTGCGACCCAGACTGATGGTAACTGGAGTCCCACTAAGTTTTTGAATGAGAAACCACCAAGGATGTCCAGCATTGCTACCCGTAGAGGCAGACAATGGCAAACCCCCTCTGAATGTTTCTTGCCTTGAAAACCCTCTGGGGTCACCACCAAGAGTTGTCTGTGACCTGATGGCCCTTTCCACCACCACCATTTCCTGCTGCTCTTCGCATATACACACAATGTGTATCCACATAGACAATCTCTCGCCGTCACAACCACACACTTCTGTTGTGGGAATGTTTAAACCCCACACCCTCCCGATTCTACAGGTCACATAACAATCTTACAACTTTCCAATGAGCTTTTACAAACTGTCGTAACCCTGCCACCATGCAGACATCCGGGGCACAAAAAACGTCTTGGCTTAGTACCGAGTTAACTCTCCCCCAGCAACGTCCACACGGGAAGCTGCTGATATACCAACAAACAGAGGATAGTTTCAGGGGGTAGCTGTGTTGGACTGCAGCAGAACAGGTAGATCCAAGTCCAGTAGCACTTTAGAGACCAACACAGTTTTCAAGGTATGAGCTTTTGAGACTCAAAGCTCCCTTCACCAGATACTCTGGAGAGAGCTTTGACTCTGAGGTGCTCCTGGACTCGAATCTAGCTGACAAAGAGAGGAGTCGGGGAGAAAGCAAAGGCCACACATGTTGGGGCAGACATACTGGGAAAAAGTTCAGCCCCAGTGCCTTTGGGGCTTGCCTCAGCCCTTTCAGCAGAGAACCATCCCCGTGTAAAGAGCAAAAAAGCTGTGCTGTTATTTCTTGAGACCACTCTATAAACCCAGGAGGCAGCTGTTTCTTGATTGCGGAGGGTCTACTCTAAAAAACATTACAAAAACAGTACCGTGAAGCATGTGCAGAGCTTTAAACAGCGGCGTAATATCTTTCAGGCAACCCGTTTCATCACTTCCTGCACTTTCCACAAAGCCTTCAAGGGAAATCAGATGTACTTTTACCAGTTTGGGTGCTTAGATGTTGTTTAACAACTGGCCTTGATGTTTAATGACAATAACAGATTTCGCCCTGTAAGAACAGATACGGTAGTCCTTTTGGCATCATAAAAGAAGCTGCTTATGTTTACAGGCCCCAGGATTTGGCCTGAGTCCAAGCATGTGTTTCTGAGTGGATGACTAACAGCATGCTCTGTGGAGGCTGGGGAAAGTAAGAATGTGCATTTTCTAAGAGGTGGGGAACAGGGATCGCTGCGTACAAAGAGCTTTTCATCTGACAGCCTATGGGAGCTTCGTGTGTTTCCTGGAAGTCGATGCGTGCCCTGTCTGGTTCACCCATGCAGGAGAATCAGGGCCAGAGGCAGACTGGCCTGCACTCCTTCTGACAGCGGATTCCAGCTTGAAATGTTTTGCATTAAACACTCCGTTCTATACAGAAAACTAACTTAGCAAGTAGAAAGCTTCTACATTGTCTGCTAGTTTTCCATTTGCAGAGAGTTTTAAATACAGCTTTCTAACATTCTTTTTTTTTATGTCTGTCAGGGGCCCCCATGATCCTGCACTGGCGTCTGAAGTGGCATAGTCCAGTTCACTGTCCTCATCCCGACGTGGATTCTCGACATGTGTGAACCAGGCTAAGAATGAAGGTTTGGGTTAAACTTGCACTTAGAAAGAACAACCTAAATCTGAAGGTGGACACTCGTGTGGCTGAATGTTTCTCCTTACTTCTTGTACACACAAAAAACGATTGTCAGGGAGAAAGCAACCGATCTGCAGAAATAACTCGCTTATTTAAATAAACTCTTTGAAATAAAACTGCAAAACTGTTCTTGTCTAACACAAGGTTCCCAGGCTAACCTGCAAGTCAGACATAAAACAAGGGGTGCCGTCAAGACAGCTGTGTAGGAGAACACCACTTGTCTAGTAAGCATATTTCCAGTCAAGAGAACTTGTGAACCAGACAGCTTGCTTGGCCAGCAGCTGCACTCCTCAGAATCCCCGAGAGACGAAATGGAAGAAGATGTTTCCCATGAACCGAAACGATTTAATTAAAAATTGGAACAGCATCGAACAGCTGAAGGTAGTACTCTCTTGACTACAGATACGCAGTAAAACAGAATTGTTCAACCTGGCAAGAAGGTGAATTTGCCCTGTCACTCCACAGTTTGCTAAAGACAGCCCTAGGAAAAGATGTCTGAGGCAGCACGTTTTAATGCTTTTTTTTTGTCCTAAGCAAAACAAATATCCTTGCAGTTCCAGAAAACAAAAAAGGAGATATCAAAGCATGAGCATTAATATCAAACATATTCACTTTGCTTTCCCAATTAAAGCCAGTTGGAACCATATTTATACAATTGACACAAAATACTTCTCTAGGAAACAAAACATGGACTCCAAAAGTAATGCTGTTACCATTTAACACTTCCTTATGAGGCAACTGCCCACTTCTATTTTTTTTTTAAAACTTGGTTTCAAAGTAAACCATCTACACCATTCTGACACAACCACACTGTCAGTCACACACAAAATGATGAAGAAGGGATTGTCCCAAGGCAAACAGACAAAACCAACTTTCTATCAGTTCCAGATAACAAGTCTGAAAAGAGGCAGCATGTTAAATAAAACCCACAAAATTCTGCAGGATAATATTTCAAAGGAAAACTTCTAGTGTTTAATACGCCACTGTAAGGTTTTGTCATAATAAATAAATTATCTGGATGGCATCTTAATCCTAAACCTGTATTCTTGCACAATGAACCCTACTGACTCAATGAAAACTGCCTTTGAAATAAATATGTCTAATAGGGCAAAAGATGTGGCTAGTGCCCTTTCCATAGGGAATCAAAAAGACTGAGCCAAAGCTTATTTAACACATTTATCCACAAAACACATTGATTTGTGTTTATTAAATAAACATGGTTTTATTAATTAATTCTCCCTTGTCTTCTTACGAAAATATGTCCCTGATTCAAAACTATGTTTAAGAGTTGGTTGGATTTATTCCTAGCCTAAGAGCTCTTCCTTCAAAATCCAGAGAAGTCAATGGTTTGCTCTTAAGTATTTTCTGAAGCCATCTAGGACATTTTATACCAAACTAATCAAGAATACTGTAGATCCTAACCTTGTGTCATGTAGGAGAAAAATTAAAAACCCTGCACATTAAAATTAAAGAACAAACTTAAAAACGCTTAAAAACACCCCCCCCCAATGTAACTAAGTAAGTGTATCATAATGAAATGACCAGGTGTTTTTTAAAGAAATAAATAAACCACGTAGCTACCGGCTGCAGCCTAGAGCTTGCATGTTCTTTCTAGAATGCATTTCACTTTCACCAAGCCCCATTTCAACCTTATTCAGTCTTACAGGACGTAACCGCAGCCTTCCGTTCTTTTTATGCTTTGATTTCCCCTTTACTGCAACGTCGATCCCAAAACTGTGAGGAAAGGCAAGGAGGGAAGCTATCAGACGTGACAAATGGCCAGTTCGTTAGAAATACTCCGATAGCTTCTTTCGCTCGCTCATCTAGAATCTGGCCTCTTAAAAAGAGAAACTTAGCAGCTCCCGAAAGGTTCGGCGACATCAACCTCGCGGATTTACCTCTGCGGAGGCATGATTTCGCAAGCCATCCCTGCAACTCTGGCGCTGGAAGCGGAGGGCTCGCCCACGGCTCTCCCCACTGGAAGGCAGGAGTCTTCTCGAGCGGGCACAGCAAGGCGCGGAGAGGAATCTCCCGACCGTCCTGGCCGCAGAGCGAGAGCGACCCAGAGGCACGCCGGACGCTCGGATCCTGCAAGAGGAGGCTTTTCACTGCCCGATCAGACGGCGCCACCGGAGAGAGACCTCCCAGCTGCCCGCTTTCCGCGCGGCTCCCCCTGTCTCTCGCTCTCCCTCCCTCCCTCCGTCTCTCACCCCCTGCCAGTGTTGACGGTCTGCAAAGGAGCGAGGGACTGCTCGGAGAAGCTCTCGCTCGCTCGTGGCTTCCCTTCCCTCTCTCGCTCTCTTTTTGGCAGAGCCACCCTCCCGCACACTTTGACCTTTTGTTCCCGAGGCAGCAGCTGAAGCCTCCAGCCAATCGGAGAGAGCCGGCAAGTGGCAACTCGCGGCTCAGTCCCTCCGGCTGGCGCGCCCGCCCGGGGAAACTGGAAACTTTCCCTCGCCGCCGCCCCGCCCCGCCCCGCCCCGCCCGACGAGCCAAGAAGGGAAAGCAGCGAGCGGCCGGTGCAAGCGAGCGGCCCAGCCGGGGCAGACCGAGGCGCTTTTTCTCAGGACAGCCAGGGCAGACCGAGGCGTGCAGGAGCGGGATACCCGCCGGTGGGGCTGCAAGGTGGAGCGCGGCCGTGCAGCCTGCGAGATCTCGCCACCAAGAAGCGGGAAAGAGGCAGCACCCAAATATTATGACCCGCCGTCTTGAAAACAAAAACGGGCAGCAGGATTGCCCCGGCCGGGTCATCACCCTACGTGCCTCTCTAGCATGCCCCATTCCTTGGAGACAGCCTGCTGGAGAGCACGTCTGGCACGTCGCTTTCACTTCTCAAGCGGGTCAACGGGAAGGGAAGGAACCCACAGTGCAATCCTAGGCAGTCACCCCAGCACGAACCCCTTCGTTTCAATGGGGTTAGGCGGGCGTAACTGTGTTTAGGATTGCACTGCCAGCCGGGTCGACAGAGAATGAAATAAACGGCAGTCTGGTGTGAGGTCTTAAAGATCAACAGCATTTTGTTCTGGGGGAGGAAGAGAGTTTTACAGATCTGGGGGACAGCCAAAAATCAGTGGGTTCTAGACCAAATCAAGCCTGAACTCTCCCCAGGAGCTAAAATGACTAAACTGAAGCTATATCCTACTTTGGTCACATTAAGACAAGAGTCACTGGAAAAGACAGGGAAAGTTGATGGGAGCAGGAAAAGAGGAAGACCCAACCAGAGATGGATGGACTCCATCAAGGAAACCAGGGCCCTCAGTTTGCAAGAGCTGAGCAAGGCTTAGGATAGGACGTTTTGGAGGCCATTAATTCATAGGGTTGCCATGAGTCAGAAGTCATCTGACGGCACTTCATACACATGCATATTTTCTGGAGAAAATCAGGCGCGATTAGCTTTCTTTCAGTACAGCCTCCCACTTCCATTCCCTTGCTCCTGTCTAACTAGAAAGCCCCCTCCACAACATACATTAAACACCTTTTCACTTGAAATAAGCCTCTTGAGACTCACTGGGATTTACACGCACAGAGATGAACTGCAGCAGGCCAAACAGTGATTTCGTACCAATCAGAACTTCTGCAGAATTTAAAGAGAAACCCCCCCCCCCTGGACATTAATCACACAGGATTAAAAAAAAGGATACAATAATAAAGATCAATGGTCACATTTCGGGGACTATGTTGTTATCTCTGACACAAGCTGTGTTGAAGGCTCAAGGTGAAAACGTGCTGGTTTCCATGGGGCTGTTGAAATCTAGAAATTTCTGCCTCTTCTGAGGAGTCTCTGACTGGAATTGAGGCCTTTTTTGCTTTCTCAGTTGGCCTAAGGCAAACTGTGACATACATGCCTAGAAAATATATGATTGGAATCAACCCCCAGATCTTTCACAGCAGTGGTTTGCCCTTGTGAAACTGAACTAGATGTCTGGCATACCTAAGTATAGGTACACTTCAGGAATTCCTAACAATAGACTCAGTGAAGCTCGTGTGTGTTTACATTACAGGGAAATCCAGAAACATGAGGCATGTGGACATGTCTCAGTGATATCAAGACAAACATATCTTTCGACATTCCCTTACGCAACTCGGTTCAGAACGGGACAAAATTAGCTTGACAAACCCTACATTCGTACAGAGGTTCCTGACAACTCCTAAACGTGCCTGATATATCCCGATATGTTGCCCAGATGTGGATTTTGCTTGTAACATTATACAGATTCATTTATTAACGGATGACTACAAAGAGCCCAAATTCAGAGATCTTCGTGTTATCTTTTTCTCTGGCAGTTCCAATCAGCTATGATGAATAGGAAGGGGTGTGGTTCTGCCTGGCATAACCCCTGCCCCCAATAGTTGATTGCGGCTGTCATAGTTTAAGGTCTGTGTTTTCTCTTGCATTTCTACATTTCTACTTTAAAAAGCATTCCAAATGGCAAGTAAGACCAAAAGCATTATCCAATATGCAATGAATCATAAAGCTGTTGACAATTAGTTCCATGTGATTCTATTCTTTTTTTGTTTTGCAAATAGTCTCAAGTGTCCTTATCAGGGTGGAAAGGTGATAACAAATAAACATCACTAGCTTAAAATAAACACAGCTTAAAACAATACATTTTAGAAAGTGGTTGCCTCTACTTGTGTTTAGAAGAGCAGGTGAGTAGGACGGACTTCACCTGGCCCCTAAGAGATCTTCATTTACTGTGTGGGATGCTGTTTTTATTGATTGATTGACTGATTTAATTCAGTACATTTTTATCCACACTTACCCGAAGGAATTCAGGGTAACATAAGAACATAACAGAAGCCAATGTTGGATCAGGCCAAGGGCTCATCCAGTCCAGCACTCTGTGTCACACAGTGACCAAAAATACCAGGGGCCATCAGGAGGTTAACTGTTCTCTCCTCTACGCCATCAGGAGGTTAACTGTTCTCTCCTCTTCTATTGTAACCTCACAACCACCCTCTGAGGTAAGTTAGGCTGATTTCTTACATGCCTAGGGAAATGCCAATCGCCACTTTGGGGTCAGGAAGCAATTTTCTCCCAGCCAGTTTGGCCAGGGACCCTGGAGGTTTTATGGTCATGAAGCAGGGCTCACTGGGGGTAGGTAGTTGTGAATTTCCTGCATTGTGCAGAGGGTTGGACTAGATGACCCTGGAGGTACCTTCCAACTCTTATAATTCTATGACTGGCTCCAGGTCACCCAGCCAGCTTCCATGGCAGAGCAGCGATTCAAACCTGGGTCTCCCAATCTGACTCTCTAACTTCTACACCACACCTAATGAGTGATGTATTGCTCTTAGGTTGTGATTTGGTTGCTGGTTTTACTAGCATTGTGCTCTATTGATTTTCTTTTAGTTGCAGATCGCTTTGGAGGAAAAATGCAGATATAAACCAACTAGTTAAAGAAGCAAACACCTGGTGACTCTGAGCAGGGAGAAAATTCTTCACTTGGGCTGTCATAATAGAAATGGCCCCCCTCTCTGGCAGCTACCCACCTAACTTCAGAAAGCAGAGGTATTTGGAGAAGATCCTTACTGGATAGGCAAGCGAGACGTTGGGTGGTCCAGACACAATGGCAGAAGACTGTAGATCTAGTGTGGTGCATTGGCTGGGATCCCTCGCCAAGGGATGTGACCACCTGGCCTCCCCAGCCCTGCTAAACTCAGGGCTGGTGGGGCAAGGCCTCCCTTCCTCCTTTGCAGGGATGGGACCAGGGAAGTCTGGGATGGGGCTCCTTTTGGTGTGGTGGTTTGGTGTGGTGGTTAAGAGCAGCCAGTTTGGTATAGTGGTTAAGAGCGGTGGACTCTAATCTGGAGAACCGGGTTTGATTCCCAACTCCTCCACATGCAGCCAGTTGGGTGACCTTGGGTCAGTCACAGTACTCTCAGAGCTCTCTCAGCCCCACCTACCTCTGTTGTGGGGAGAGGAAGACAAGGGAAGGGGATTGTAAGCCGCTCTGAGACTCCGAGTGAAGGGCGGGGTATAAATCCAACTCCTCTTCTTCTTCTTCTTTCCGGATTGGCTCCCCCCTCCCTTGTACATACAACAAATAGCGGAAAAGCCTGACTAGAACTCCTCTCCCCGATATCTTTCTCCCCCCTTCCTGTATGGAGGAATTTCATTGTATGGAGGAACATTTGATCCTGTGAGCACCCGCAGTCTGATCACAGGAGAAGATAACCTTTCGACCTGGCCTTTGGTTCCACATTAGGATAGGAACAAACACACTCCCTACAGTTCTGAACACCAAACTCACTGTCTCTGTGTGTGAGTATGCACCCAGCCTGGTCAAACAAGGTCGGTCTGCTTTCTGTATACCGGGCTGCCCTTTTGGATGCAACCCCATGACTGACAAAAAGTCCTTTATGTGAATGCACCTCTCTGCTACATTTTTATCCCATAACTCCCCCACCGTGGTGCACACAGTTGTCCATTTCCCCATTTTATCTACACAAGCAGGGGCAAATCCTTCAATACATGAGAGACGAATCTATACCAGTAAGGAGTCTTACAGATGCATTCTAAACCAATCGTGGTTCCCTTGTCACGCCCACACTGAGCACATTACAGTAATCTTGCTCAGGTGGGATCAGAACGTAGGCAACTGTCATTTGGTCATGTCCTTCCAGAAGAAGGGCACGATTAGCAAAACTTAAATTGTATAAAGATCTTTCAAGACACAGACAACACATAGGCTTCCATCTGCAAGGCTGGATCTAATAGTATCCCCAACCTGTGGTCTTTGTCCTTTAGGAGAGTGTAGCCTGAACCCTCCCTCCTGGGTCAGCCCTATAGCCACCCAATGAGTCCCCGGTCTTGTCTGGACTGAGTTTCTGTTTATGAAAAGCACGAGGTATTCATCTAGGGGCCATCGATATGCTTAGACCTTTGAGCTGCACATTTGGATGTGGTCCGAACACAGGCCACAGGGATTAAACACAAGCAGAGTCTGCTCCGTAACATCCCTAGTAGTCCAGACTACTTGTCAGCACTGTTCCCTCTAAGCTGAGTTAAGGTGAGCTAGCTTAAGGTTTTTTAGCCTCCGGCTCACACATTTTTGTCTTAGCTCAGGAGAGATGGCTCCAGAGCAAACTAGTTTATGCAGTAACCAAATCACTCACTCACAACTTTAATGCCAGTCGCTCACGAAATGGAATTTTTGCTCACAAGACTTCACAGCTTAGAGGGAACATTGCTTGTCAGAGCTCGGAAGCTAGCAGGGTCAGTACTTGGATGAGGCCGATGTGCAGAGGCAGGCAATGGGAAACCGCCTCTGCTCACCTCTTGGCTTG